GATGAATGGTTTTATGCTCATATACATGAAATGGATCGTCAATGTTAAAGGTGACGGTAATTGAGTTTTTTGAGTTATTTCGACTTTACTCGATAAAGGAGAAGAAAATCACACACTTGCCCGCCATCAACTTATCTATGACTTTATGACCCATAAAGAATCATGCACACGACTTTACATAAAGAAATAAAAAATTTATGCAATTTGTGAGGCTCTTGTTTATTACATTAGTGGACCAGCACCGAAGGAAAAATGGAAGCGCTTCTCTGAAATGGGTCATCTCATAGCAAGTGTGTATGATAAAGTTTGTATTGATCTTACAAGATACTGCTTTTTGGAAACTTTTTTCCACTGTGAACCGCTCCATCTCAAAATCCAAATGATCGTATTATGTGTATTGGATGGCTTTCAAAATCAACACTTTGTTCAAGTTTATTTAAAATCGGAATGCATTATACCACTTACATCAGTGGAGTGACCAATTAATTCAACAACAAAAGTCAAGACTTGGTCGTACTAATTTGTGGAAAGGATGCAAGAGTTCACCAAATTGAGCAACATTGAAAGAGAATTAAATTCACGAAAGCTAAAGGAACAACCACCCATACTTATAGATTTAGCTGACGACAAATCTTTTGATTCGTTTTAGTTTTTTGTCATCAATTAAGTGTGTGTAATTGTGTATTAATATTAATGAAGTGTAATATATACAATTCAAATATTTTAATACATTTTGATGTTTTCCAAAAAAAAATTGTTCATTTGTCAAACAAAACACACAGGTTATGTTTTCTTTCTGGTTCAAAAGAGGTTTCGGAGATGAATCTATGGAGTAAGACAATAGGATGATACCGGAGATGTATCTCCGGAACCTCCATTGGTACATGATGAAAAAATTTAGGTTCATATTTCTCTAAAACTTCTAGAGATTTCATCTCTTGTTTTTAATTTCATACCAATAGAAAATGTCGCAAATGTCACAAATAAATATCATCTGGTATGTCACAAATATCTCATTTTCCAGCGCAATACCCTGACAAAAATTTAAGATCAATGAGTACATCTTCTTTGCGTATCTGCAATACGAGTTGTAGAATCTCCTATCTTACGAAGATAATCAAAAAATTGTGAAGCTCGAGTCCCATTCACCGTCAATTAACAATGAAGGCAAGATTGAGTTCAACAACTATGAACTCAATACGGATGCAGATGTAAGGGTTATTTGGAATACATTTTTGTGCTTCAAAACAAAAGTTCTGATTGAGGTGGAATCAACAATTTCAAAATCGATCGAACATATTGTGAAGATGTTGAAGCGTCCACTTGGATATCGAAATGTAATGTCTGATTTTATGTTAAAATCACATATGTAATGTCTGATTTTATATTATAAATAGTAATTTTATTTTGTCAAAATACAACTTTCTGATTTCCTGCTTCTGTTTTTGTTTCGGTGTGCTATGGAGATGCATCTATGGACACATTCTGAATAAAAAAAGACACACTTCTAAAACATCATTAAGAATTGGCCTAAATTGTGTGTTTAAGATGCGTTCGGAGATATATCTTCATAATCTGAAGACATTTTACTATTTTCACATGATATCTTAATAATACATAAAATACAGAAATCCCCTTTTATCCGACTCATATTATTGATTTTCTCAATTTTTAGAAACATGGACTTTATGTTAATTCAGTTTTGTTAAAAGGAATTCAAATTTACTACTCTTATGATTTACCAACATCACTAGGCTGTTTATTGTCATATAAATTTCATTTTTTTAATTATTCCTTCTGGTTTATAATGAATGTTGTTTTAGCAAAAATATAATATTTTTAATTAAATGTTGATGGTTTTTTTTACAATTTTTTTAGAATTACATTAATTCCAAAATATTTTTTTCTTTACATTTATGAATTGATGAAACTCAAACAATAAATAAGAAGATTAGTTTAGTAAAAATAATATAAATTGAAGAAACTCGTGAATTTTTCTCTGGTTTTTTTTTACCATTTTATTACATTTCTTCATTTTGTTTTTAGTTTGTGTGTGACACTATAATCATTTCTTTCTTAACATCATTGGAAACAACTCTAAAGTTAATAAATGATAGTACTTTAGTTTATAAACTCTTGCACTAGATTCTTCCTCACAATATTTTCACTTGACCCTTCAGTTTTCACAAACCACTTAGCAATGGAAGCACAAACCACAAACCAATGCTTCCATGTTAGGACAGACGTATCCTTAGGGGCATTTTTAAGAACTCTATCAGTGACAGCAGGTATTTGTGCACCACTGATTTGAACGTCTTTGTTCTTATTTTAAAACAAGAGTTTTCAACAACATGAACAATTCAGCCATAAGATTATAGCAAGTTCTATTAGAATAGAATATTCTACTGTTTTGTCTTATTCTATTGTTTGTCTTATTCTCTTATTGTGTGCTATCTGTTTGTTAGGGCACAACTGTAAGTTTGTTAGTGAGTTGTGCCATCTGTGATAACAAACTATCCCAACTATATATAGCTACTGATTGTATTCTATTTTGCTAAGAATGAAATACAAATCAGATTCTTCTCTCTCTTTCTATTATCTTAACATTCTTATTCTCCTATCTCTGCTCAGCCTATGTCTCCTATTGTCTCTAATGCAGGCTCTCCCTCTTCTCTCCTGCATCATTCACCCTCTTCTCCTTCTGATTTTTTTGATCTGGCTAAGGCCAGCACTATATCTCCTTCCTCTTCATCTCCTGTCCCTTCTTCTTCTTCTAATTCTGCTCCTATTCCTCCTATTCACCCTCTAAATATTCATCCCATGCAAATTCGTGCCAAAATGGTATTGTTTAGCCTAGAGTCAATCCTACTTTACTCTTAACTCACATGGAACCTACCTCAATCAAACAGGCCTTGACCACTTCTCACTGGTTTCAGGCTATGCAAGATGAATATCAGGCCCTTTTGAAAAATCAGACTTGGTCTTTGGTGCCTCCACCTGCATCCAAGAAACCATAGGCTGCAAATGGGTTTTTCGTGTGAAAGAGAACCCTGACGGTACCATTCTCAAATACAAGGCAAGGCTGGTTGCCAAAGGTTTTCACCAACAGGATGGGAGTGATTTCTCAGAAACCTTCTCCCCTGTAGTAAAACCTGTCACCATAAGACTTGTGCTAACCCTTGTTGTCACAAATAACTGGCAGATGCAGCAAATTGATGTCAATAACGCCTTCCTTAATGGGCTACTTGAAGAGGAGGTTTATATGATACAACCTCCTGGGTTTGAGGCTACTGATAAGTCTTTGGTTTACAAGCTGAACAAAGCTTTATATGGTCTAAAGCAGGCTCCAAGAGCCTGGTTTGACAGACTCAAGGGTTCTCTTCTGACTCATGGACTGCAGCCTAGCAAATGTGATCCCAGTTTGTTTTATCTTCACACCAGCAACCTCATTATCATGGTCCTAATCTATGTTGATGATATCATCATCACAGGAAATTCCACTGCCTATATTGCTCAGCTTATTAAGAGTCTTAACTCTAATTTTTCCCTCAAAGATCTTGGTAAGTTGGATTATTTCCTAGGCATTGAAGTCTCCCATCTGCCTAATGGTTCTATCATCTTATCTCAATCTAAGTATGTGAGTGACCTGCTTACTAGAGTGAATATGGCCACAGCTAATCCTATGCCTACCCCTATGGTTTCTAGCAGTAAATTGTCTAAATTTGGTTCAGATACTGTTGCAGATCCCACCCTGTTTAGATCTGTTGTTGGAGCATTGCAGTATGCAACATTGACCAGGCCTGAACTCTCTTTTGCTGTTAACAAGGTGTGCCAATTCTTATCCAATCCTTTGGAGGATCACTGGAAAGCTGTCAAGAGAATACTGAGATATCTCAGTGGGACACTTCACTATGGTCTTCTCATTCAACCTGCCCCTAAACAGTAGCCTCTTTCTCTCTTGGGTTTTTGTGATGCAGACTGGGCTGCAGATCCTGATGACAGGAGATCAACCTCAGGTGCTTGTGTTTTTCTTGGGCCTAATTTGATCTCTTGGTGGTCCAAGAAGCAGCAATTTGTGGCTAGATCAAGTGTTGAAGCAGAGTACAGGAGCATGGCTCAACTTGCCTCTGAGATGTTATGGGTCCAATCTCTGCTCACTGAATTACACTGCACCTTTCAAATTCCCAAGATTCTATGTGATAACCTAAGCACAGTTACTTTAGCTCACAACCCTGTGCTTCGTAACAGAACCAAACACATGGAATTAGACATTTTCTTCCTTAGAGAAAAAGTCATCAGCAAGAGTTTAACTGTGGTTCATGTTCCTGCTCAAGACCAATGGACAGATGCACTAACCAAACCTCTCTCTGCTGTCAAATTCCTGCCTCTAAGAGACAAGCTCAAAGTTTTCAGTAAAAGAGAGCTACTGAAGACACCCTCTGATTCTAAGGGGGACTATTAGAATAGAATATTCTACTGTTTTGTCTTATTCTATTGTTTGTCTTATTTTCTTATTGTGTGGTATCTGTTTGTTAGGGCACAGCTGTAAGTTTGTTAGTGAGTTGTGCCATCTGTGATAACAAACTATCCCAGCTATATATAGCTACTGATTGTATTCTACTTTGCTAAGAATGAAATACAAAACAGATTCTTCTCTCTCTTTCTATTATCTTAACAAGTTCGTCTATTCCACTCGGTTTGATTCCACAAGCATCTTAGCAAGTTTAACTGGGTTTGAAAGGTAGGATCATGCGATCCTACGCATCAACTAGCGATTCATTGCAAGTAGACTGTACTATAAATATGGCAATTAGCCTCTTATTTGGTGTGATCTCATTGTATTGTATAAACCACAAAAGCTTACTGTCTCCATACATCATAATAATAGTTATAATTAAGATTGTTTCCCCTAAAATATACATACATATAACAGGCAACATTGGGTGCAGATTTTCAATACCAACATAAATGTAACTGTTCAAGTAATATTATATTTACATTTAGAAGGAAACGGCAGTGTCAACATCCATGTCGGCCACCTCTCTTATAACATTTTTGGGAGAAGGCAAACCGGCTGTAACATCCTCTTCAATTCCACATTCATTTGTCCCTCTCTTGATCTTGAAGTAACCATTCTGCAGTTTAGTAGATTAAATTGATTCATTAGCAAACACATATCTTAAATAACAACTATTCAAGCTGAAGAATAATTCAGGAAACATACATCTCCCCAATTTGTATTCCACTGATTTGCAATAAGCTGAAATAGTGAAAAATACACATCAGTAAATATAAAATTCTGAGTAAAAGTATGTATTTGAGAGTAGTGTTGTCTAAAATCAGGAACAAGTTAATATATTGTCAGCATACCCAATAGTCCTCCCCTTCATCACTTGTTCCCCACCCAATCAGCTTTACTGCATGACCGCCTAGTGCAGAACCTGTGATGTGTTTGTAAACTCCTGATTTGTAGTGAGCAAAATCCTGTCAAGAGATCAAAGTCAAAGGCATGCAGTAAGGTTTGATTCATAATACTAGTTTTAAATTTAAAATTTGTATCTTCTATCCTATTCTTAAATCAATTTGCATCCTCATAGCACAAGAGATGACATTTGACTCCTTATTTTTAAATGAAATGAGTAACAAAAACCAAGGGAAAATTTTGAAAAGATAAAGTAATGAAAGGAATTTAATAAAGCACAAATCTAATGTGTTAAGGAGATATAAATCTTATAGGATAATATGGCACAGAAGGAAAGACAACATCAAGACAATGGGAAACCGAGGTTGTTGAATGCCACAAACCCAAACGGGAGTAACGAGAAGAAGTTGAAGTGATAAGGTGGAAACTTAGGTCCCGTTTCCTTCGTGGAAACATTTTCAATTCTCATTTCTTAAAATATATGTTCATTTTAGATTACTAACCAGGGAATGGAAGATTCAAATAGTGAACAATTGTGATGGAGAGAAGTTGGAAGGGAATCTAGGAAGAATGAATTTTTAGAAACAATAAAAACAATGTTTTGACATTTTCAAAAATTGCAAAAGAAAATGACGAGGAAAGTATTGGATCTATATTTTCTGATGTTTATTAATTGTAGTGAAAATGAAAACAGAAAAACATGGTAAGTAAATGGGGCCTTGGCAAGTATCGCTCACAATTTTATTAAAGAAATAAAGTAAAATGGAAGAACACATATTAACTCATGCTTGCAGCTTGTCATTTCTTAATTCTTAGCATACTAGCCTAGGATGGTGATGTGCTTTCAAAATCTGACTAGCAGAAGCGGGAAAATTATGTCAAAAGCTTTCATTTACCTCATAAACACTGAATGCAACTTCAACCGGCCCGTTCTTATAAACTTCTTCCATGATATTTTGGGGATCAGAGTTAACCCTATATGGTTTGACACTGTAGTGTTTTGACTTCTTCCAAAGCTGGTTTCCCTTTACACACTTCCTAACGCACTTGGGAGTTTGATACGCTGGCTCACAACCAGGATGAGAACATCCAGTTTGATCAAAGTATGGGTCACACTGTCACATGTAAAAAACAAATACAGAACATAAGAAAGAGTCTAGGATTTTAGTCTCTAAGCAATAAAGGGAATGAAAATTTGTTACCTCTTCAGTGACAACACCATGGTGTGCTAAGTATCGCCATGCAGAAATGGGATACCCACCATCACAGCCAGATCCACAAAGAAACCCACAGCATGCAAGAAGGTCATTAACAGAAAGGGGTACATCCTGCAATTGAACATATAGTTTTTTCAAAAGTGCTTATGTTAGTAGATAAGTTCAAATAAGTCAATCCTAACATATTCTTGTATGAAAAAGCTTTCTACTTGCTTTAGCAAGAAGTTTACTTACCACACCAAAATGAATGCAAAAACGGTCTGATAATGATTCAACAGCACCAAATGCCCAACAAGAACCACAGTGACCCTGAATCATAATCATGACAAGGATCAGATAAGAACTTATAGATCAAAGAACCACATTGAACCCTAAACATAAGAAATGTAGCTAAATTGAGGAAATAATTAGAGAATTACCTGATCTTTAGTGAGGAAATTGGTTCAGCAATCAATGTTATTATCAATAATGAAAAAGAAGAGTCAGCACATACTGCAAAAATGCATTATATGATTAATGCTTTAAAAAGTAAGGAGAAGGAGCAAGTAGGTTACCTAGAATTCTTCCAATAGTGTTACACTGAGGCCAAGCTGTCCTTGCATCAAATTCCTTTGGCAAGTTTAATGATTTTGGATGAGTTACAACAGGTATACTACTGAGTTCATTCCTAGGCGTTTGTTTGACTCCAAGAAGGCGCTTAAATTGTCCAACCTGTGCATCAAACACAGTACCTTTCATAGTCAAATCATACATGTCATGCAACTAAGAGCATAAATATCAATGCCATGTCATCGTTCCTTCACAAAAACCAAAGCTTTTTTACGAGAAATTGATGGATATTTGAAAATTTTAACTGTCATTTAATTTGCCAACGTTGTGTAAGAGAACGTTTCTTAATTAAAGGTAAGATATTTGGTGGAACCCATTTTAGAGTTTTTGATGGATTGTATGGATATTTAAAAAATATACTTGAGTTGTTTAGAAAATATTAAAGTGGAATATAATATAAAAAATTACGTGGACTCCATTTAAAGAATCAAAGTGGGGATAATGAGTGTGGATGCTCTAAGTATGTGCAAATGAAACGCACTCTATAGTATAATTAGTGAAAACTTAATTAAATATAGTAAGCTAAAAAAAATGAAGATTTAAATGTTAATCTTTTTTCCTATTAAGTTTTGGATTTGATTTTAAGTCCTAATTTAATTAATGGCTCAATTAGGCGTTTCTCTTAAATCATTCCTGTAACAAACTATAAAATAAAGTCATATTGTTTTTTACCCCTATAATTTATTTTCATAAACTATATTTAAGAGCTTATGAAAATAAACGGAAACAACAACTTATAAACAATGTCATAAGCTGTTTGTATAAGTTTTATCCATTGAATAAATTTAAATAAGTCAATTCAAACAACCCTAAAACTAAAACCTTTTTTTTTTGTTTTGATCTTTTCTTTATATGCTAAATTATAGTTTTGATCCCCAATTTTAACTTATTTACGAAATTAGTCATTCTATTTTAAATTTAAACAATTTTATTTCCTCTCTCCTATTTTTACATAAAAATTGATCAAATGTTCGTTTTTTAACTTATACTTTTATATATAAAATTCTACAATATATTTATATTCAATGATTTATCATGTTTCACGAAAAATTTGTCATTTAAAAAATAGAAATATCAATTAATTTTAAATGAAAAATTATGAGAACACCAAAATTGTTTAAATTAAAAATAGGGAATCAGTTTTGTGAATCAGTTAAAATAGGGAAACTAAAACTATAATTAAGTCATTTTTATACTATTTTTTATCTTTATTATTTTTTGTTTTCATGAACTTTTTTTAAAATTAATACTTATATTATAATTCAAATATTTAAGGACCAAAATAAACACAAACCAAATTTGTGCTGAATGTTTAGATTTAATTAACTAATAAATTAAAAGAAAGAATTTGCATAGTCTCAACTAATATTAACATATTATCGATGGATTAAAACGAAAATAAAGAATTAAAAAGAGAATTATCTACAAATCAGAGACTAAAATTGGAGAAAGTTGAAGTCAAACCGTAGAATTGGAGAAACGAGGATTAATAGCAGCCTTCCATCCTGCCCCTGCGTTTTCGTTAACCTCTTTAGCGATTGACTCCTGCACGATGATCGATCACGTTAACACGATTCATCCATTCAATCGCATAGATAACAAATTAACAATAGAATATTCAAATTCAAACTTCAAATATTCATAATAGAAAATAAATTAGGATAATCGTTAATTACCTGAAGAATATGAGAATTAAGCTTGAGTGCAGTGAGTTGATCTGCTTCCGCTTCTCCGATCTGTCAACGACGTTTTTGTAATTTCAAAACTAAACAGTTTAACAACAAAAAAGTTCGGAAGAAAAAGCTTTAAAAAAAAGTGATTATTATAAGTGGAAATTAATCTGAACAAGAAAAAGATACCTGGAGAAAAGAAGCAGAGAAAGCTAGAAATAAAGTTGCCAGGGGCAGAATTGTTGGAGCCATTTTGATCAATGGAGTTGTGGATTGAATGAAAACTAGGAGCTTATATTTATAGTATATTGATTAATTAACCAATTGTTTAATTTAATTAAATTTTTTTTTGGTCATGGAATAGAGTAATTGTCTTGGCATACGCAACTTGGGTGGGTGGGGGTGGGTGGTGCAGAAGAGTGTGATAAATTAATTAATTAATAAAGCTACGAAATTGAATTCCAAAGAAAGCAACATGTGAATTATCAATACAAAAACAACTAACACATAAGTAAATTGGTGGGTCCCATTGTGTTTCAAATCAACCAACTATATTTTTCCATGAAATTTTATGATTTTTAAAATAAAATGTTAAATAATTAAGCCATGCGTTGAAAAGTCTGGTTGTGGCATTCGATCGATTTGTGTCCAAAGTCATGGGATTTGGGTTGTGAAGTTGATATGATCTGAGTCAGAAAAAAGGCGCAAGAGGACAAATTTTATAACTTTATTGATTCAAATTCCAAAAATAGATCGTATTGCAAATATTTTTCCTTTTATATTTTCATAATAGGAGTAGTTTAACTCTCTTCCTTGAAAATTGCATACATTATTATGCTATCTAAATTTCCGCTGTCGATTTCTTATCTACACATTATCCAATGAGTTATTTTGTATTAATAAACAAGATAAACTTTTTTTTTAATATAAAAAACAAGATGACACCTAAAAGTATTATTCTTTCTGTAGAGTTTTTCTAGTTTAAAAAATTTGTGAAAGAAGAATCTTCAATATGCTCCACCATGAGATGATATTGTAAAAGAAGAAGCCTCCGATGACAATCAAACCTCGACACTATAACTTGTCTTCGTTAGCAACCGATAATAAAGACATATGAAACTCCTTTGCTTGATTCTAAAGGAAATAGTAGTAACTATTTTCCACCCGAAGTTTGTTGCCCTTATCGTTTCTTGGCATGTCATTCCGGAAAGGGGAAATACATGGTGTGAAATCTTTTTTTGCAGGTGATATGATTTTAAAAAGGATATTAATTTTTGATGATAACAACTAAAGTATTGCGATAAGTCAAGCATGAGCGATTGAACTGATAAAGATGCAAATCTAACTTTAAGGTTTGGTAAACTTGACTATCAGATGATGGCAAACAAAGAATACAATTAAAATCTCATCTCAAGCCACTTAAACATGTGTCTAGCATATAGTAATAGCTGACAAAGTCTTGAAGCTATATGGTGACCTCTTAACTTAGTATTAGCGATCTTCTATTTTAGTAACGAGTGAACGATTGTAAGACAAAAGGACTTTATCGTAACAATGCATGGCTAAAAGTGTGTGTGCACACACACTAAAAACATTTTTAAAACTGTTTTATCAAAGAAAACATCTTCAAAAATGTCTTAAAGTTGTGTCAGATGACTTAGAGCGTCTTTAATGGGAGTAAACTAAATGAGCAAACTAAGATATTTTTTGTGGGTCTAAAGTGTTTTGTAGGATTTAAAAAATTTATAGTTGATTTGAGTAGTTTTTGTTGGTGCAAAGGTAGAATAAATGATGAAAAGGTAGAAATATTCTATTAAGAATGACGGCAGAAAAACAGGATTAAAGTTACAATGATTGTCACCCTATTTATAAGCTAAAACTAGGGTTACTAGAATAAGATAAAATACTAAAATACCCTCTAACAAACTTAGGGGCTAAGAAAATAGTACAACTAAATAAATATGAATTACTATTAATATTCTAATACCATCCCTTAATTCATATTCCATCAAAACTTGTAACACCAATTCCATCCCTTAGTCTGAGAAATTGATCAGTCTTGATAGCTTTCGTCAGAATATCTGCCAACTGCTTCTGAGTGCTGCAGTGTACAACTTCTAACACTCCACTCTGAACTTGAAGTCTCAGAAAATGATACTTGGTCTCAATATGCTTGCTTCTCCCATGCAACACTGGGTTTCTGGCAAGATTGATTGCAGACTTGTTGTCAATCATCAACTTCAGAGGTTTGTCTACTTTAATCTTCAGATCCTGCAACAGATTCAGAATCCACACAGCTTGGCATGCAGTAACAGCACCTGCAATGTATTCAGCTTCACAGGTTGACAATGCCATAACAGGTTGCTTCTTGGAACACCAAGAAATGGAACCTCCCAGAAATTTGAACAAGTACCCAGATGTACTTCTTTTGTCAACTCTGTCTCCACACCAATCAGAGTCTGAATAACTCAGAAGTTCTTACTCATTATTTTCTCCAGAGGGAAATAACACTCCATACTTCAGAGTTCCTTTGATATACCTCAGAATCCTGACAACAGCTTGGTAATGGGACCACTTAGGTTTACTCATGAACCTACTAACCATCCCAACTGAGTAGCAAATATCAGGTCTGGTATTGCACAGATACCTCAGAGAACCAACCAACTGTTTGAAGGTTGTAGCATCCACATCCTTTCCTTCAGAGTCTGAATCCAGTTTCTGATTTGTATCAGAAGGTGTGACAGCCATCTTACAATTCTTCAGATCAAATCTCTTCAGAAGTTCTAATTCATACTTGAGCTGATGCAAAATGATACCTTTCTCAGAATATCTGAACTCCATCCCTAGAAAGTATGTCATTTTGCCTAGATCAGTCATTTCAAATTCATTCATTAGAACCTTCTTGAACTTGGTTATCTCCTGTTCAGAACTTCCAGTCAATACTATATCATCAACATATAAACATACCAGAGTCATATTGCCTTCAGAAGTATGCTGAACATAGACACCGTACTCCATCTCACATTTCTGAAAGCCTTGCTTCTTGAAAAATGAATCAATATTCTGATTCCAAGCTCTGGGCGCTTGTTTCAATCCATATAGAGCTTTGTATAATCTGTACACCATCCCTTCCTGATTCTTTTTCACAAATCCAGGAGGTTGTGACACGTAAACTTCTTCTTCTAATGGACCATTCAGAAATGCAGATTTTACATCTAAATGTATCAGAGGCCAATTCCTGTTAGAAGCTATTGCAATCACCATTCTGATTGTTTCATGTCTTGCTACAGGTGCAAACACCTTAGAGTAATCCAGGCCAGGTTTCTGTAGAAATCCTCTGGCTACCAACCTTGCTTTATGTTTGCCAATTGAACCATTTGGCTTTAACTTCTGCTTGAAAACCCATCTAACGCTGATGGCTTTCTTGTCTTTTGGAAGTTCTGTCAGCTTCCAAGTCTTGTTTCTCTCTATAGCATCAAGTTCTTCTTTCATGGCCTTCAGCCAGAGCTTCTGCTTAAGAGCCTCCTCTGTACTTATAGGTTCAGAGTCTACTAACATGGCACACTGAATAACTTCTCCTTCAGAGTCTACTTCAGTGTCTTGCAGCATGTCAAATTCTGCAAATCTTCTGGGAACGCTTCTGATTCTTTGTGGTCTCTGAACTTGTTCAGAGTCTTGAGCTTCAGAGTTTCCAACTTCAGATGGTTGACTTCCTCTAGAGCTTTGACCATCTTCAAGATCTGGCATATTTTCAGAGTTTTGGCCATCTTCAGAGTCTGAATTTCCACCAAAATCTGGATTACCATCAGAGTCTGGATTATCAGAGTCACCTTCATCTTCTGAGTCTTCTCCAGAGTCAGAATCAATATCAGAGTCAGAATCAACGTCAGAGTTTACTTCAACTTCAGAAGTTCTTAACTCTGACCTTTCTTCAGAAGTTCTAACATCAGAATCAGATTGAGACTTATCCCAATTCCAAACTTCTGATTCCTTCACAATCACATCTCTGCTGAATTCAATTTTATTGGTTTCTGGACAATAGAGCTTGTATGCACCTGTACTATGGTACCCTATCAGAATCATCACTTTGCTTCTATCATCCAGCTTCTGTCTTCTGGAACATGTTTATAGCAAACAGAACCAAACACCTTCAGATGACTAACACTTTGCTTGTCTCCAGTCCACTTCTGCATAGGAACTATTTCCTTCAACTTCTTCGTAGGACATCTGTTGAGTACATACGTTGCAGTGGCAACAGCTTCTCCCCAGAGCTTCTGAGGAAGCTTCTTCTCCTTTAGCATGCTTCTCACCATGTCAAGCAAAGTACGGTTTCTTCTTTCAGCAAGACCATTGTGTTGAGGGGTATAAGGAGCAGTAACCTCATGCTTAATTCCATTCTCCTCACAGAACTTCTGGAACTCTTTGGATTTATACTCACCTCCACCATCAGTTCTAAGAATCTTCAACTTCTGACCACTTTGATTCTCAGCCTTCATTCTGAACTTATTGAATTCATCAAACACCTCATGTTTAAATTTAATAAGGGATACCCATGTCATTCTTGTGAATTCATCAACAAACAACACAAAGTACTTATTCCCTCCAATTGATGCTACTGGAAATGGACCACACACATCAGAATGTACAACTCCCAAGGCATGTTTTGCTCTTGGAGCAACTTCTGACGCAAATGGCAAACGTGGTTGTTTTCCTTCCATGCAAACTTTGCATGACTTCTCAGGCTTCTTAATTGCAGGAATTCCATGTACCAGCTTCTTTGAATTCAGATGTTTTAGGCTTCTGATCAAATGACCAAATCTTCTGTGCCACAACTCACTCTCCTTCTCAGCACATGTTGCACTAAGACATTCTGAGTCTGCAGTTCTGACATTCACCTTGAATGTTCTATTCCTTCCCTGTTCTAACTCCATAATCAACTTCTAATTGCAGTCATACAGCTTCAGAAGATTATCCTTCATGGTAACTGAAAAACCTTTCTCAATTAATTGTCCCACACTCATCAGATTGCTTCTGATGCCAGGTACATACCACACGTTCTGAATCAATGTTGTTTTCCCATTGTTCAGAATCACTCTGACATTTCCCATACCTTCTGCATTAAGATATTTGTCATCAGCACATCTGATCTTTGTTCTCTTTTCAGAGTCAAAGTCAACCAGCCATTTCTTGTTTCCAGTAAGATGATTTGAACAGCCAGTGTCTATATACCACCAGTCTGTCAGATCATCAGA